CTCGTGTATTTTGTTCTCATCTAAAGGAAGAGTTTGGGTCTTACTGGAAATATAAATCTGATGGCTTTGTGGTCTAACCTTGGTCGAATAGTCATACTGTTTACCAATGCTGTATACCTGAACCGTTTAGGTATATTGGGGTGTATACCTGCATGACCTTTGTACACCGTATACCTGTGTTGTCTATTATCTGGCCACACCCTTTAATTAGTTTTTTTAAAATACATTGATCTGAAAATTCCTGAAATTAAATCTTATATTGAATTGAGTTTAACCTTGATTTCAACTTTATTACGGAATTAAATTTAACTTGGAATTAAATTTATCTTGGAATTAAATTTAACTTGGAATTAAATTTGTCTTGGAATTAAATACTTGGAATTGAATTTATCTTGGAATTAAATTTAACTTGGAATGAAATTTTACCTGCAAATAAATTCAATTACTCGTGACTATAATTACAATGATGACATGTTATTAACCATGACTTAATTTACCACAGATAATTATTGACACTGAACTGTTATTACGTCATTATAGGTGAAAAACATCATCTTCCACCCCAATCAATAACAATATAATTAGTGATATAATCGTTAAGTATAATTATCATGGCAGTATAATAGGTGTGTAAGTATTATAAGTGGTGTGGTTCTATAATGGCAGGTGACAGGTGAGTGAGACCTGACAGTATGATAGATAGTGTTGGATGAAGTGTTAATATCATTCATTACCTTTGAACTCTGGATTGCTTGGTGGTGGTGGTGGTGGTGGTTGTTGTTGTGGTGGTGGTAGGTGATGGTGGTAGTTGCTGTGGTGGTTGTGGTAGTGTTGGTTGAGGTTACTGGAGGTGTGTGTGTAAGGGACATGTGTATATGGTGGTTTCTTTGGCATTTCAGTGCCATTTTTAGCTGTTGTAGAGGCAGTTAGACACGTTCTCCGTGACTATTTACGGGGATTATCCAGCAGACGAATCTCTGTTGAATCCGTGTCTTGGTCATAATGAAAATAGATAGTAAGAGACGAAACCCATAACTCAGTGTGTTTGGTAATGCAGCAAGTGACCGCAGGAGTTGGAATACACTCAGTAGATGGCGCTGGTGTCGAGGTGGTGGTGGCTGAGGTCATCTGATTGGTATGTTATTTTTATCCTCAAGAGCTTGTTTACGCAGCTTGCTCATACGCTTTTTAAGTATGTGTTTTAAAAGTTTTATCAAAGGTCGTTTACACACACACACACACGTACCCTTCCCTTTATGCTCCGTGTGTACATCTTACCTGTAGTGGTCGGCACCTAGATGGGTTTTTGTGTGGTGGAGGCGGTAGATGGAGGAGAAGGAAGAGGGGGGGGGGTGAGATTGAGGTTAAAGTAGAGGAGGTAAAGGAAGAATAGGAGGAGTTAAAAGAGGAGGCGAAGGAGGAAGAGGAAAAGGGAGAAGGTGAGTTGGTGAAGGGAAAGGAGGAAGAGTAGAAGGGGTGTAGGAAGAGGAGGAGGAGGTGTAGGAAGAGGAGAAGGTGTAGGAAGAGGAGGAGGTGAAGGAAGAGTAGGATGAGGTAGAGAAACAGGAGGAGGAGGAGGAAGAGGAGGAGGTCGCCGGCCGCAGATGTTCCCTAATGCTTTCACTGTGCCCTGACTCGTCCCAACCACCTACCACATACCTGCCAGGGCACTTGTGGTATCCCCTGTCCCCAACCCCTACCTGCCCCCTCCCCTCCCCCCTTCCCCTCCTCCCACATATACCAGGTATCTTCTCCCCTCCCACACCCGGCTACTCCACATACCACTGATGCCGTGTGTGTGTGTGTGTGTGTGTGTGTGTGTGTGTGTGTGAATAAGACGATGGAGAAAATGAACTCCCCTTACCCGACTTAACCACGATGAAGGTGACCTAAATTAACCCTACCATGGTGAAAGCGACCTGACCTGACCTAACCATGCTGAAAGTGACCTGACCTAATCACGGTGAAAGTGTCTTAAGCTGATCGTACTATGGTGAAAGCAATTTGACCTGACCGTTGTGAAATTAACTTAACCTAATTATAGTGAAAGTGGCAACCAAGCTGTGATGAAAATGACCAAACCTAACCTGTGGTGAAAGTGACCTAACTTATGGTGGAAGTGACCTAACCTATGACGAAAGTGACCTAACATATGGCGAAAGTGACCTAACCTATGGCGAAAGTGACCTGACATGGCGAAAGTGACCTAACATATGGCGAAAGTGACCTAACCTATGACGAAAATGACCTAACCTATGGCGAAAGTGACCTAACCTATGACGAAAGTGACCTAACCTATGGCGAAAATGACCTAACCTATGACGAAAGTGACCTAACATATGGCGAAAGTGACCTAACCTATGGCGAAAGTGACCTGACATAGCGAAAGTGACCAAATTTAACCATGATGAAAATAAACTCTAGTTAATTTATGCAATTCGAGATTAACCAAACATTACCCTGTCTTATATAATTAATGGTAGTTAGGAAGAATAGGTTACATTAGGTTAATTTACAAATGGTTAATTTAAGTTAGGAATGACAGCGGTTTATATTAAGGAGGAATAGCCTTAGTTGGAAGAGGTTATAGTAAGTTATGTTAGAAAACTTTATTTAGGTTAACTTGAAAAGAATAATATAGTTTATGTTTGGTATATGTCTGTCTGTCTGTCTGTGTTGCTGTGTGAGGACTTCAAAGGTCGTGTCTCTCGTCTATCTGTACCTCTCACTGTCCTCGTGTCACCCTACACACACACACCTGTCTAGCCCCCTCCCCCTTCCTTTACCCACCCCTCGTCCTTTCTACTCACCCCTCCATATTTCAACTGTGTCCCCTTCCCCTCCACTCCCTCCCTTTCCGTCATAAATATTGGCAGGTTATTCCTCCAGACCACTTGCGAGGCTCCCCTTCCCACCCACTAGCACCTTGTGTGGGAGGAGGGGGTTTGGAGGAGGGTGTGTGGGTGTAGAAGAGTGTGTATGTGTGGTGAAGGAGTGGTGTGGGTGGGAAGGTGGTGTGGGTAGAAGGAGGTGTGGGCAGTGATGAAGGAGGGTGTGGGTGGGGAAGGAGTGGTGTGGGTGGTGAAGGAGTGGTGTGTGGGTGATGAAGGAGTGGTCTTGGCCTGTAGTTTAGACATCAACATAATTCATACTGTACAAATATTTCCTGAAAAAAAATATTACAATTACCCAAATATTTTGCCATAAACCAACTTCACAAACTACCAAATACATTTGCCTAATCTTGAATCTTTTCTACATAATTTATTGACGAATTGAAAACTGCGTTACATCTGTCTTCCAGAAACAAAAGTGTTATACCTAAACTACTCCAGGCTACAGGAGGGTGATGGCAGGAATGTAATGCTTGATAGATGTTGAACAGGGTGAGACGAGAGCCAGGAGAGGTCTTCAGTGATAAAGGCAATCACCACGTGGGTTCATGGCGGCCTCTTGAATATATGATCGTTTCCTACAGACGTGGTAATTAGGACATTTAAATTATTATTTTTTTTCCAAATCTTAATTGACATAATATTGTATTTGAGACTTTTTATATTTATAGATAACTGGTGAAAAATGCGGGGAGAGGCACCCGGAGCCTTCTAATAACCATTGTCTGACTACTAAAAGTAACTCAAACGTTTTGTTTAAAAATGGATTACGGCTCGTAGGGCCGCTTTGGGGATACTAATAAGTATCCTAGAGTTGATACAAAAATGGCCGATAGTGTCTAGTGCATGGCTACATATGTGGCCACGCACTTGGTATTTTGTGGTGACAGATTCTTGTGGTCTACTGATATTGTTACTTGTTCTAACACATGTTTGGCTTATTATATTTCATCGTGGTGGACAGTGGATCAACTAGTGCCTGTTTACACTTGTCTCCTTGTTTCACAGTCTTCTAATAGTTCTTTCTTATTACAGCGTTTAAAGTTCGGGTAAACATTCCAGAATCAAGCTCACAGTATCTTCATTAGACCCAAGTTTTACTGAGGTCTCAACTCTTGTGTTGTTCTTGGGTACCTGTGTTAAGAAGGTAACCCCAACAACTTTATTGTATACCCTTCTACCACCCCCACCAACATTGTCACCATCTCCACCTCATCCACCACCGCCAGTAAAGCGTACATATATGTTCCTAACTTCAGAGAAAAGTATGTGGTATTCAGAGTTGAGGGTGAAAGAGCAAGTATATAGCAAGGAGAGGGAGGGAGTGACTGTCTGTGTTACTAGTGACTCCAACAAGCATGAAAACAGTGAATTTAACCAACACACAAGACACCCTTTATTCTTCCTCCCTTCTATAGTGTACTGCCCGCGTGTGTGTGTGTGTGTGTGTGATGGGCTAATTCACTGTGCTTGGGTGGTTGTCTTCGCATCACAGAAGTATAATCATAGCAATAAACGCACCACACAATCACTAGATACAGACTGACGACCCATTGAAGTTACACGACCCTGGAAGTGGACTGTCAGAGCCACCAAGACAACGAATCTATTGGCTTGGCGTGTCTCATCTCCTCCTCTTCCTTTTCCTCTTTCTCTTCTTCCTCCTCCACCTCTTCTTCCCCCTCTTCTTCCTCCTCCTCCTCCTCTCTTTCCTTCTTCCTCCTCCTCCTTCACCTCTTCTTCCTGTACAACTTCTCACACTACCATCAACACAAAGTTCCTCACCCCAGGTCTCTTGTCACCTTGGTCCTCCTCACAACAGGCCTCGGCGTCCTTCTGGGTCCTTTACTGTCTCCTATTTTCTTATCATATGCCTCAACCATCTCAGCCTTGATATTCTTTTGTATTTGATCATTTAATCTTAGGCTGGATAGTGACTGTCTAATTCTGAACCTTGTATCGTCATTTAAACACACTTGTCCCATCTAGTGACTCGCATTCTCCTTAATAATCCTTTAAAGGGAGTCAGTGTTTTAGGACGTGTTCAGGGAGTTTCAGGGCCGTAGGATTGTCTCTTCTACCCTCAGAGTGCCCATCTACCCTCAGAGTGCCCATCTACCCTCAGAGTGCCCATCTACCCTCACAGTGCCCACCTACCCTCACAGTGCCCATCTACCCTCAGAGTGCCCACCTACCCTCACAGTGCCCATCTACCCTCACAGTGCCCAATCTACTCCCTCACAGTGCCCATCTACCTCACAGTGCCCATCTACAGTGCCCATCTACCTCAGAGTGTCCATCTACCCTCACAGTGCCCATCTACCCTCAGAGTGCCCATCTACCCTCACAGTGCCCACCTACCCCTCACAGTGCCCATCTACCCTCACAGTGCCCATCTACCCTCACAGTGCCCATCTACTCCTACAGTGCCCATCTACCCTCACAGTGCCCATCTACCCTCACAGTGCCCACTCACCTCACAGTGCCCACCTACCTCACAGTGCCCATCTACCCCTTTCAGAGTGCCCATCTACCCCTCACAGTGCCCACCTACCCCTCACAGTGCCCATCTACCCTCACAGTGCCCATCTACCCTCAGAGTGCCCACCTACCTCAGAGTGCCCATCTACCTCACAAAGTGCCCATCTACCCTCGCAGTGCCCATCTTACCCTCACAGTGCCCACCTACCCCTCACAGTGCCCACCTACCCTCACAGCTCCATCTACCCTCAGAGTGCCCCACCCACCCCTCAGTGCCCACTCATCTCCCTCACAGTGCCCACCTACCCTCACAGTGCCCACCTACCCTCACTGTGCCCATCTACCTCAGAGTGGCCACCTACCCCTCACAGTGCCCATCTACCCCTCACAGTGCCCACCTACCCCTCACAGTGCCCATCTACCCTCAGAGTGCCCATCTACCCTCACAGTGCCCATCTACCCTCACAGTGCCCACCTACCCCTCACAGTGCCCATCTACCTCACAGTGCCCACCTACCCTCACAGTGCCCACCTACCTCACAGTGCCCATCTAACCTCATACAGTGCCCACCTACCCTCACAGTGCCCACGTACCTCACAGTGCCCATCTACCCTCACAGTGCCCATCTACCCTCACAGTGCCCATCTACCCCTCACAGTGCCCATCTACCTCACAGTGCCCATCTACCCTCACAGTGCCCACCTACCCTCACAGTGCCCACCTACCCTCACAGTGCCCATCTACCTCAGAGTGCCCATCTACCCTCACAGTGCCCATCACCCTCACAGTGCCCACCTACCCTCACAGTGCCCATCTACCCCTCAGAGTGCCCACCTACCCTCAGAGTGCCCATCTACCCTCACAGTGCCCATCTACCCTCATACAGTGCCCATCTACCCTCACAGTGCCCACCTACCCTCACAGTGCCCACCTACCCTCACAGTGCCCATCTACCTCAGGAGTGCCCACCCACCCCTCAGTGCCCACCCACCCTCACAGTGCCCATCTACCTCACAGTGCCCATCTTACCCTCACAGTGCCCACCACCCCTCACAGTGCCCACCTACCTCACAGTGCCCACTCCACCTCACAGTGCCCACCTACCCTCACAGTGCCGACCACCCCTCACAGTGCCCACCTACCCCTCAGTGCCCACCTACCCTCACAGTGCCCATCTAACCTCACAGTGCCCCACCTACCCTCACAGTGCCCACGTACCCCTCACAGTGCCCACTCCACCTCAGAGTGCCCACTCACCCTCAGTACCCACCTACCCTCAGTGCCCACCTACCCTCACAGTGCCCACCTTACCATCACAGTGCCCATCTACCCTCACAGTGCCCATCTACCCTCAAGAAAGGCCTACCTACCCCTCACAGTGCCCATCTACCCTCATGCCCATCTACCTCCCCTTACAGAGTGGCTACCTACCTCACAGTGCCCACTCTAGCCCCCACAGTGCCCATCTACCCTCACAGTGCCCATCTACCCTCACAGTACCCATCTACCCTCACAGTGCCCATCTACCCTCACAGTGCCCATCTACCCTCAGTGCCCATCTACCTCACAGCTCCATCTACCTCACAGTGCCCATCTCCACCACAGTGCCCACTCTACCCTCACAGTGCCCATTCCACCCTCATGCGCCCATCTACCCTCACAGTGCCCACCTACCCCTCACAGTGCCCACCTACCCCCTCACAGTGCCCACCTACCCTCACAGTGCCCACCTACCCTCACAGTGCCCATCTACCCTCACAGTGCCCATCTACCTCACAGTGCCCATCTACCCCTCTACAGTGCCCATCTACCCCTCACAGGTGCCTCACTCCACCTCATGTGCCCATCTACCCTCACAGTGCCCATCTTACCCCTCACAGTGCCCAGCTACCCCTCACAGTGCCTCCACTCTTACCCTCACAGTGCCCACTTCCACCTCACAGTGCCCACCTACCCTCACAGTGCCCATCTACCCTCACAGTGCCCACCTACCCTCACAGTGCCCATCTACCCTCACAGTGCCCATCTACCCTCACAGTGCCCAGCTACCCTCACAGTTCTCCTCTTATCCACATAAAGAGATTCCTCCACTCATTAACTCTGGTTCTCTTGTTACTTTGTCGACGTCCCCTCATATTCCTGCTAATTACCATCACCTCATTAGTGACATAATGACTGAGTAGGATAAAAGTTCACCCGGAAGAAAGTAGTAATGTGAGGTCAAGAAAATAGTAAGACACAAAAGTATAAATAATTCAGTTTTAACTACGCAATCACACGAGTTATGAGAACGTATCAATTATTAAATGTTGATCTGTTGATACAAAAGAATTATTAAACGCAACAACAACGACAACGACAACAACAACAACAAATACACACTATACATGACGCTGACGACGATCCTACCGAACACGTGGAGTTCATGACGATAGGGAGGTGTTGTGGCTTTGTGACACTGTATTGACCTTGACGGGATGAATGACGCAATATGATAATTATTCTCTTACACCACACATGACGATCTCTCTCTCTCTCTCTCTCTCTCTCTCTCTCTCTCTCTCAATATGGATAGAGTATTTTATCCCTTCTTAACTCCATATCAGAATGGATTAAAAAGTGTTTTGTTTGGTATTAAATCATAAAAAAAAGTGTACTTGTCTCCGCCATGTTAAGTGGAGGTGGTGGTGGGTAAGGGGGAGGGATATACACCCATTGTCTTAGATATTTTTTATTTATTTTTTTCTGTTGCCTAGATCAAAGGAAGTTACCAGCTTACTCAATGTTGTTATTGGTGTTGAATATATAGGTAGGCCTCTGCACCATCTCTTGAATAATATATAGGCCTCTGCACCATCTGTTGAATAGGCCTCTGCACCATCTCTTGAATAATATATAGGCCTCTGCACCATCTGTTGAATAATATATAGGCCTCTGCACCATCTGTTAAATAATATATAGGCCTCTGCACCATCTGTTGAATAATATATAGGCCTCTGCACCATCTGTTGAATAATATATAGGCCTCTGCACCATCTGTTGAATAATATATAGGCCTCTGCACCATCTGTTGAATAATATATAGGCCTCTGCACCATCTGTTGAATAAGGCCTCTGCACCATCTGTTGAATAATATATAGGCCTCTGCACCATCTGTTAATAATATAGGCCTCTGCACCATCTGTTGAATAATATATAGGCCTCTGCACCATCTGTTGAATAATATATAGGCCTCTGCACCATCTGTTGAATAATATATAGGCCTCTGCACCATCTGTTGAATAATATATAGGCCTCTGCACCATCTGTTGAATAATATATAGGCCTCTGCACCATCTGTTGAATAATATATAGGCCTCTGCACCATCTGTTGACTATATGGGACCCTTAACCAAGCCTAGATCTTATACGACCCTGGATTACACCAAGACTATATAGGACTACCCTTGTATTATATAGGACAGTGGACCAACTGGACCATCCCATATAGGGCATCGTACCACCGCCAGACCACCACGTACCCTAGATACTACCCAGGGTATAATCACGAACCAATAACAGCAGAGGTGAATGTTGGAGGATATTGCCAGCCGGTGGTGGTAGTGGGTGGGTGGTGGATGAGATGTGCCAATGGGTGGTAATGGGTGGGCTGTGGTTGTGGGTGACATTGGATGGTAGTGAGAGGGTGGACAGGGGTAGTGTGTGTGTGGGCGGTAGTGTTTGGGCGGTGGTGGGTGGCAGTGTGTGGGTGGTGTTGCATAATGCGACCTTGAGCGGTAGTGGACGACGTGCCTCAATGCCTGCCGCCCCCCCTCCCCCCCCCCTTTACCCTCCCCTTCTCGCCTTCCTTTGTACCCTTCCCACCCTGTACCCTTCCCACCCTGTACCTTTCCCACCCTGTACCCCTCCCTTACCCCTGTTCCATAATACTGGCCACTTCCCTCCCTTCATCTTCCTCTAATCTAAATTCTCCCATCTTCCCTTTCGTCCCCCATCTTCCCTTCCCTCCATCTGACCTAACCCTCCTCCTCCTCTTCCCTTCCCCCAAGCTCCCCATTCTATACTTCCCTCAAACCTAACACTTCTTCCCTTCCTTCCCTACTCCCTCCTTCACTCCCCATCTAACCCAGCCCCCTTCCTCCTTACGTCATCGCCAGGGGAACCAGGACGTGGCTGGTGCATTATGATGACTCCCTCTCCTACCCGCGCCTGTATGACATTGACTTAACCTCCTGAGTACGATGACTTTACCTCGTGAGTACGATGACTTAACCTCCCGAGTACGAAGACTTAATCCCCTGAGTACGTAGGCTTTTACCCTTGTGTACGATGACTTAACCCCTGATTACAGTCACTTGAGTCCCTGAATACGTTGACTTAACTCCTGAGTACAGTGACATCCCCAGAGTACGATGTCTCAGGGGGATGTTATCGTACTCAAGTGGTTAAGTCATCGTACTCTAGGGGTTAAGTCATCGTACTTAGTGTTACCTCACCCGAGCCTCCTTACTTCGTGCCACTTCACCCACTGACACTTCACCCACCCAGTGTCACTTGCCACATTATATACTCCCTAGAGGAACTCCCACAATTAACCACTCCCATAACTGGTTCCCACACAGTTAAAGATAAACCTCTTAATGTTTTTCTCTTTTAATGGAATCCGTAAGGTGACGTAAACAGTGGCCATAAATTTTGATAAAGTCATTGATGAGGTGAACAAGTTGATCAACAAACCACAACACAAGTACATGATTATTATCTTTTTGGAGACAAGTAACTTTTTTTTATTGAAGTAAAGAACTCCTACACTCAGTCACTCAAGGTGTGTGACCCCTGAACCTCCACTCTAAATGTTGACAGATTGTGTTTACCATCTTATCAGATTTTTCATCAATGAAACTGGATCTCGCGCGTGTGACGATACGTTAAGGACCGTGTAGAACCAATGCTGTTCAGTAAGCCTTTGGTATAATGCACCACGGTCAGCACTGCACTCAATCACCTGCAGTTAAGAACATAAGAATGGAGGAAACTGCAGCGGGCCTATTGGCCCATACTGGGCAGTCCCGTTTACACCCAACCCCTATTGCTCATATAAGCATCCAACCTATGTTTGAAGCTATTCAGCGTATTCGAGTTAATGATGATATTTGGTAACTTGTTCCATTCATCCACTACTCTGTTTCCAAACCAGTGTTTACCTATTTCACGCCTAAATCTAAATTCGTCTAATTTAAAACCATTGTTACGAGTACGCTCCTGGTTGGATAGTTTGAGTACCTTTGTAATGTCCCCTTTCTTTAGCCCTGACTTCCACTTATACACCTCTATCAGGTCGCCCCTCGCTCTACGTCTCTCGAGGGAGTGCAAATTAAGATGCTTTAACCTGTCTCTATACTCAAGGTTCCTAATGTCCGGGATTAGTCTTGTCATTCTCCTCTGAATTCTTTCCAATGATTCTATATACATTCTGTAATACGGTGACCAGAACTGAACTGCGTAATCCAGGTGTGGTCTCACAAGCGCAAGATACAGTTTTAGGATGACCTCGGTAGTCTTGTAACTAACACTCCTTTGTATGAACCCAAGTACTTTATTAGCCTTGTTACGAGCAAAAACACATTGTTTACTTGGCTTAAGGTTCCTACTTATCATTACTCCTAAATCTCTCTCGCAGTCGGATTTCTCTATGGCATCGTTGTTCATCTGGTATCTGGTTTCCCTGTTTACATCTCCTATACTGAGTACTTTACATTTGTCCATGTTGAATTTCATCTGCCATTTTTCAGACCATTCGAAAATTTTTTTTAGATCTTCCTGTAGTTTTGCGGAGTCCTCGTCAAATTTAATAACACGTCCTATTTTAGTGTCATCAGCAAATTTACTTATGTTGCTGTCTATGCCGATATCTATGTCGTTTATGTATATAATAATTAATAATGGTCCAAGTACTGAGCCTTGGGGAACTCCACTTGTGACGTTGCTCCAATGGAACTTAGTGCTGTTAATGCTCACTCGCTGTTTCCTGTCCTGTAACCACGCCCTAATCCATTTAAGGATGTTACCTTTGATGCCATGTGCTTCTACCTTTCTAATTAGTCTTTCGTGGGGGACTCTGTCGAAGGCTTTGCTAAAGTCGAGATATACCACATTATAATTGTGCCCCTCGTCCACCGATTCGAAAACCGATGAAAAGAATGTTAATACATTAGTTAGACAAGAATGTCCGCTTGTGAAGCCATGCTGGGAATCATTGATCAATCGGTGCTTCTCCAGGTGATTTCGAATAGAGTTTGAAATGATTGCTTCCAGTAATTTGCCTACTATTGATGTTAGACTGATTGGGCGGTAGTTAGAGGATAGTGATCTATCCCCCTTCTTGAAAATCGGTATTACATTCGCTATCCTCCAGGATTCTGGTACTACACCTGTTTTTAAGGACATGTTAAACAACTTTGCTAAGGGCATACTAAGCTCTTCCTTACATTCCTTTAATACTCTGGCAAATATCTCATCGGGACCAGGTGACTTATTAGGCTTTAGTTTGTCTATTTGCTTACTAACATCGTTACTAGTCACTACTATCTCGCTTAATTTGTTTTCTTCACTATCTCTGAATAGAGTCGGTGCCTCGGGTATCATGTTTAAATTTTCGGTGGTAAAAACTGTTGAAAAATATTTATTCAAATTATTGCTCATTTCTCCGTCGTTATCAGTGAGCTCGCCGGCATTTGACCGTATTGGTCCAATCTTTTCTCGTGTTTTAGTTTGATACGTTTGGTAGAATCCTTTGGGGTTTGTCTTCGCCTCCCTTGCTATCCTTACCTCATTATTCCTCTTGGCTTTCCTTATCTCGGTTTTAACCCTACTCGCCAATATCTTATAATAATCCTGGAGGTAAATTTCGCCACGCTTTATCCTTCTACCTATAGCCTTCCTTTGGCCAATGATGTTCTTTAAATAATTATTTATCCATTTAGGGTCATTGTTGTCTGATCTGAGTTTTTTGTATGGTATGTTCTGCCTTTGTGCATTAAGTAACTCATTATTTAAATTGTCGTGGAACTCGGCAATCTCAGATCTCATTATCAGGTCAGAGTCATCTGTCAGGTTCACGGCCAAGCGCGACACCCCGTCTCTCAGCTGCCTCTTTAAACCGTCAAAGTTTGCCCTTCTGAA